CAGAGAGCATAAATCGAGAGTCAAATTCTATTTTTGTACATGAAATAATCGATATACTATTTGAGTCATTCGTTTTTTTTTTTTTTTTTTTAATTTGTCGATATGTCAGAAATATTTTTGTCAAAGATAGAAATATTATAATCCCTTTACACATTCAGAGTCACATAAGCGAGACCTTTATTAACTTTGTTTTGATAATTATAGAAACATAAAACATTAGGTACATGTGTGCAAAAAGTAAATTATGAATAAAAAAATATCAGTATCTTTATTAAGGCTATCCTTTTTATCAATAACGGAAACATAAATTTTGTCTATTAGCGCAAGTTTTGTTGTTCCTTTGTATTATTATTTTTCTCTGATAAGTATATATTATAATATCGATGTTTGCCATTCATATTTAACTACTGCATTTAGAAGATGTAAAAAATAAATAAACAAAACCATACAAATTTTTATTGTACATCTTACCTACTTCGGCGCGGAGATGAAGTAATATATACCGTAACTTAGTGACAGGTGGAAGCGCTCCCGTGACAAGAGAACTGACACCTACCTGCCTAATCAGTACACTTGTCTTCTTGTCAAGTCAAGACCCCCCCCCCCTCCCCCCTTTCCCCTACATGACTGGCCCGTGTGTATTCAACGTAGACATACCTGAACTCTAGCTCTCACCTGGTGTCAAGTATTTACCTTGAACCCTACTGGGTTTCAATGAAATGCATCTACTTATTTTCTGGATATTGTTCATAATTTTTATGAACAACACTTAATTAACAATTAAAGATTTTATACTAAGAAAATTGGTAAATGTACACTTCCGTTACAGATTAAAAATTGAATAATTGAATCAAAGAAATATAGGCGAGATTTGTCCTCCAAACTTCGTTGATTTAGTTCATTTGTATATTTTTATGTTATTTTTATAGGTTTACAGTCATAAACATGATTGGTGTGATCAAATAAAAAAAATGCGCTTGCGGTACTTCTGGTTCTTAGGGTTTTCTGTGTTGTCTGTCGTTGTTACATGTAAAGGCGTCTCAAAGATACATGAAAAAAAAATCGTCCGGTTCTGCGGTGATACACAAGACTGGTAAATACCTTGCATTTAATTTTATTCGTGTTTATCGATTGCATATAATACGTGACTATATTGAAGAAGTCAATATATATTTTTATTTTATCTTATTTTAATTTATTTATTTATTTATTTTTTGGCTTTTTGAATCGGATTTTTTTTTAGGGGGGAGGGGGGTATGGACCCCCCTTCCCCGCTGACTGTGCCTCAAATGGGGTTAAGACTTTCAAAATTTACAAAGTTTTGTCTAATTTTGCCGATGTCGTCCTATATAAGATAAGTTTTGTAACAATTATTACAAAGTCTAAGAGCAATAATTGACAATTATTCAATCCGAAAATCCACTTGTCAAATTGCGGAAATTGATTTATTATTTATTTTTTGTGTGTGTTCTAATATGTTGTAAACAAGTGTACGTAAATGTAACCATTCAATGTTATTTAATACAAAGTTTAAGTACCAATAAATATATTCATATATATTGTAAGCTTAGTTTACACGTATCTATAGTAGATACAAATTCTGTTATTGTAAATGCTTATAACACAAGCACGCTAAGAAAGCAATATCATTTCTTTGGGGGCGGCCGGGGGGAGGGGGTTGGGATCTAAAAAGAAATGTTTTGAAAAGTAAACAAAAATGGTTAAAGACATTATTATTGTCGATGGGCAATATTATATAAGCATTATATTACTATTGTATACTACACATGCTGGTACACTGTAACATTTTTTTTATTTATACGACTGCATGCTCCCTTCTAGCTTAATCTTACAGGCTTATAAAAATACCAAAATAAATACAAAAGAATGGAGATGCGATATTTTTTCGGATAATAGATGATGACAGATCTAGTGACGTTTATTGATTTTATTAAATTCGATTTTTTTCGCAGGTCTCCTTCCTCATATATACATATACAATGTATGTACTTGGAATGTACTTGGAATATGTAAATAATTTCTATGTGCACGGGATATGTGTGACATATATATTTATATATAGGAGAGATTAATTATTCACAGTCCAGTGCACGGTCTGTCTCAATGCAACTAGCAATTTCAGCAAATTTAACGATTCGAAGGAATTTCGACATTTGTATAATTACACAAAAAAATCGCCTAATTTCCATCATAGAGTGGATTATTCTTAAAATAATTACAGTTTGAATTTGATGACGATCACTTTTATTGACAAGAATACCACATCTTTTACAAAGCATAATTACTTCAAATGTTTTATCATGATAAATTTAAAATGTTTTATCATTTCGATTTGCGGCTTTGTAAGTAATTAAAATTACCTTACTATAGTATATCAAAAAGAAAACTTTTCGTCTTGTCAAAAAACGTTTCGCATTTTGAAACAATCCTATCGTTTGCGTTTATCCTATCGTGAAGATCGTGTATCAGGTCTATCGTGTTTTGCGTTTAACGTATTTTGACTTATCGTGTTTTGCGTTTATCCTATCGTGCGTGTATCCTGTCCTATCGTGCGTGTATCCTATCGTATCGTGCGTTTATCCTATCGTATCGTGTATCCTGTAAAGAATAACGATGCAGGTACTGTAATATAATAAAATTTATAATTGTGTTATCGTTAGTGAGCGATATTTCATACAAAATTATATTTTAACTATCAAAACCAATTCTTTTAGAGGATGTTCTGTAGATATGCATGCTCAAAATTCTCCAGAAATCTAATATGCCATTACAAGTTACAAATATATGTTGAATAGTTTCAATATCCTCCCTGCAAAAGTTGCATAAGTCAGATGTTTTAATGTTAATTTTTCTTCTGATTTTATAGTTAAAATTTACGAAGTTTTTGTTGAACCCGAGACATTTTACCAGAATTGATCATGAATCATACCAAGGACAAAAGATGTACTTTTTGTGAAAAGGTTGAAATACTAGTAAATAACTGATTTTGTAATGGGCTGCCTATGAACTATGAATATTTCTTTAGTAAATAAATGTGAAAGTCTATTTTGGCTTCGGGTGCATATTGGTGAAAAATGAAGACAACAATTGTAGTAATTTTAAGGGAAATATTCTGCAACTCTCTATTTCCTTGTAATTCATTTGCTGGAATTGCCCTTTTAAAAAGTACTGTTCATTGTTAAACAGTTAGAAATTAACACAATATAATATCAGTCTTATGCATGTATTTGTGGATCCATTCATTTCTTACTTCTTACAGAACGTTCTTCATATTAGTGTTCAGATTGGCAACATATTCTAATTTTGTCCATAGCTTGTGTTTCTGTCCACTGCCAAGCTCTGGTCAAACCTCCAATGATGCGCGGAGAAGTGACTCGTATTGTATTTTGAACCGCTGATGGTTTGTTTGATAAGCTGGTTTGTAAACCACAAAGCTGTACGCCCCCTGACTAATGCCCCTCCTCAGCTGATGAGGGGAACATTACAGTGTGGTGTATGTATCGAATCGTAGTTTCAAAATGTTCAAATATGGCTCTGAAGTATTTCAGCACATGGAACGATTCCAAGTTGTCAATCTTACCTTTCCTTCGATGAAACTGCAATTTCTGCTGATATATCAGGTATTTCTTCAACGTCAATTTTCACGATTTCGAGAAGTAATTTTGAATTGTCTTGTGAAGTTTGTTTCATGATATTTAAAGATATCTAAGTTTTATTTCTAGTCTAATAAAACATGCTTTGACTTTGGTTCCTTCGTACTGAATACTATAAAAAGAAAGGGAATGAATCTCATTTATTTACATAATTTATTGAATACAATCTTTCAAATATTCTTACACGTAAAATTTGCCATAAATAATTGCTTTCAGTCTTTTCGCTTGGACATGAATCCCTAATTTGCGGTAATTATCAGAGTAATTAACGGAGTGATGAAATAATTAAACTCTTTATTATCGACAGAACTGTACCCGAAATACTTTGATATATCTTTATTTCTGGTACATTTAACAATAAAACAATACCTCAATGAAACCAACATATGAGTCCGTCCTCATCAATAATAAATAGACATTTTTAAGGGTAGATACATATGCTTGCAGAATAGCAGTATCGAATTCCGAAACAATTGCCAGCTGTGATAAGATCCACCGGGAAAAATTGTTTGCAATGGCTTTAAAGGAAAACTTAGATGGCATCAGCCAAATATTCGAAAGCGGTCACTTTCTACTTCATTGGACCAGTTCTAGCTCTGCTACAGACGTGCTACGCTCAGTGCTTAGACCCCCAAACATTACTCATTAGCAATTATAAAAATTCCTCCGTGCTTGGTTTTAACCTTCTGACCAAAGCTGACAATCAATCAATCAATCAATCATTAATGTATGTCTATGCTAAACTCTTAGTTGTTTTTAATGTTTTCTTTGAAACCTGCAAGAGTTATAACCCCTGTATTGTCAAAGTTAAATACTATTAAAAGCATATTATAGGTAAAATGGCGACTCATAAGAGTGGTATTACTTTATTTCCGAAGATCACTGTTCATTATCGTCACCTTGTCATTTATAATAAAGATTGGGACAATGCAAACTACATTGGTTGTTTATGTTTTGTGATTGATTGATTGTATGTTGTTTAACGTCCCTCTCAAGAATTTTTCACTCAAATGGAGACGCCACCACTTGCCGGTGGAGAGCTGCAAATTTTGTCCTATTCTTGGCACTCACGGCCATTGAGCAGTGAAGGATCTTTTTCGTGCCAGCACCTACTGCGACACGGGACCTCGGTTTATACAGTCTCATCCGAAGGACCGGTCTCCACGTCCCACAGTGGGATTCGAAACCGCGACGTAAGGATCGACTCCTTACTTCGAGACTCTAGAACAGACGCTCTAACCACTGTGCCATGAGGGCGACAATGTTTTATGATAAATACTCAATACATAAGCAGTAGACTCTAATGTTATCTATTCTCTGTTACAGGTAATAGTTTGACTTATCATAATGAAATGAAATTCAGCACTAAGGATCAAGACAATGATAGATTTAGTGGTTATAACTATGCTACATCACATCACGGAGCCTGGTGGTACAAATACTGTCACAGATCAAACCTTAACGGAGAGTATGCCAATTCAAACGTGATTAATAGTAAATATGCAGTATGGTATCACTGGAAAAGAATTTTCGAAGCTCTTCAAAAGACGGTGTTGATGATAAAAGCTTAAAACTAAAATTAATGTAAAATCAGTCATGACATATTTATTGGAAATTAAAATTTTAGTTTTCAAGAGACATGTTTGCCTCTCTATGTGAATTTGTACATCTTTTCTCGCCTAATTTTATTAACCTTTCTATGAAACTCTACCTAGTGAAGGCTTAACTTTGTTCCTTGTCTCAGAGTGTAATCAATTTTGACATAATTTTTATTACATTGAGATTGTAGTTCACAAAAGAAATATAAGGTGTTAAAGTGTTTTTTTTTTTTTTTTTTTTTTTTTTTTTTTTTTTTTTTTTTTTTTTGCATAATTCTCAGACTACATCATTTACAATACAGTTATCGTAAAAAATGAATGTTAAACACCGATCCTTGAAATACATAATGTTAAAATGCTGTCTTCTCACTTGTAAAGTATCATTCCAAGAAGACACGTAATACTGATAAGTCACGACTAAATATGAAGGGGTTGTATACTAAGTGTGTGTTGTATCTGGCGAAAACTAAGTGGTCTTTTTATACTGAATAGACTGAGTTTGCTGTGACTGGTAATTGATACATGTTACATGCAGCAAAACAAAGAGACGATGCTGAGCTAACTCTTTTTTAGTTTTATGTTCTTGGTTATTTTTTGCTTTAATTTCGGGAAAAAAAATGTTTTATCAATTTGTTTGTTTTATCTGTATAACACTACAAATTATTCATTTTATGAAACAGAACTGCTTCTAGAGACTGCACACAGCACTGTTAAGGCATACTATGAAGAAATCAAGGAATGTAGTGCACAAATACAAATCTTCTAAAACTGAGCTTGTTTTTGTAAAGCTTTTATTTTATCACTTTTTATGAAATAACTTAGTAAAATCCCACTTTGTAGCGAATTTAGCTTGGTCACTTGATTTGACAGTCACGTGATAAATGCATATTATGTGTACTGCACGGAGGTCATAAACACATTTCAAGTGCATACCCTCAATCAAAGTAAAATTTTAATTCATAAATCATTTCTATACATTTAGTGCTTTTTTGTAAAGTGTTGCTGCTTTAACTAAAAATTTTATTTTTTAATTTAAATTTCAAGTAATGGGACTCCGACTGAGAAATCCTTGAGTCCTTTACAATGTATTTTATGTGTTTATAATTAAATTACGTTAAGTTCTCGAATTCACAAAAGCACCAGCACTTTTCAAGTTAAGGAACACTTCTTCTATCCATAATTAAAAAGAAGTAAAGATTTATTAATAGCCCTTCCGCTAGGGCGATACATCGAGGCACTTAGAGGTTATTCGTGCCATTTCTTTGCACAAAACACGGGATAATAAATTTAATAAGCTTTCAAGAAACAAAATTAATACGGGCATTTAATCAGTCTTAAACATATGAACTACTGGTCTATTAAAAGTCTTGTAAATAATTTTCTTTTTATCAATAAAATGCATTTCTCACTGTGAAAAACAATCAATTGATCCACCACTCACTGCACATAAAATGCGTCAAATTTTATCATGATGACATCATGATAACAAATGCATTGCGAATTGTTCATATCTTGCTGTGTGGGATTTAACTAGCGACAGAAAAAAAGTAGTGGTAAGTTTTGATGTAGTTTAATACTTTTTTACAGTTTAACTCGCGAATCATTTCATTTTTGATATTATGAAGAATTTATATTTTTTGACTGACGTCGCAGTAAGTATTTCACGTATAAATTTAGGCCACACCTCCTTTATGTAGCCTTAACAGTGCTACACACTTATAGATGATATTGGCGTATTTAGAGTGCAAAATAAACCTTTCTGATGACGGTTTTGATAAATCAGTTTATCCTCTTATACATTGTTTTAAGACCTAAATAATGGATACAGGGGAAAGGGATGGCATATCACTAAGTGTGGGAATCGCCAGGAGACACCAATACATGTAGAGTGGTACCCTAACAAAAAGTTATATAGTTAACTATAGTTATCACTATATTTATTTAGTTATATTTTTGGTTATTAGTTGTTATCACTAAAGTGTCGTATTGATCGCTATAGTAAATCAAAGATCAAAGTGATCACTATAGTGTCCATGCAATATTTATTATATTATACTGAATGTTTTATACAACTACATATAACAGTGAACCTTGCGTGCATAAGTTCTGCGCAGTCACTATTTTTTGGAATATCACCCGTCGTCAAGCAATGTTGACTGTTGCTATGCTGGAGGCCGTGGCTTCATCATTCAGCGGATAATAGTGTTTTTTAACAAATGTTTCTCGACGAATCAGATTCAACTAATTTACATGAAAGTATTATATAAATAAGTGTACAATTATATACCTTTTCAAACTATTTTTTTTTAAAAATAAAGCTATTAAATTATCCCACCAATTTAAAATAAACAAGTTGCTGTCCTTTAAAAAGGACAGCAAAACGTGGACCATATGTATGTGTTTTTAAACGAAATTCCAAAAAAATTTCTAGATGTAGTGATTATACAAAAGTGGAATTAAATTAATTTTTTTTTACATGTATATAGTAATTTTCATCATTATATAAGTCTGCTTAATTAGGCTGTAATGATAAAAAAAAAAATCATGACCTTGAAATGACATGAAAATGAAATGTTGATCTAGGTATCTATCACAATTGTTTTGTAGCCTTTAAAATTAACAACAGAATTAAAAGAGGCTTAAGCGTGCAGGTATCGTAATGGTTGAATTTTAACTCCAATGGCGGATCTAGGGAGGGGGTGGGTGTTTCTGGACGTTGGAACCCCTGGATACAATGCACTTTACCGGTACGGCCGCCATTTTGATTCTAGATCCGCGCGTGAGGTGGCGCGGCATTAAAACTTAGCAACGTATCAACTATGATGGGCGACGCCATTTTGTTATCGTTAGGAAGCGAAAGAAAAATAAACAGCAGGTTTTAATAAAATTAAGCGGGGGTTTGGGGGCGGTAGTCCCGAGTATATGACTAAACATGTGATTAAACTTACCTTAGTCGTCAAAGAAGTCTGCGCTAGCATTCAGATGCTTTGTTGTTAAGAGTCAAAGTGGCCAATGGTTGTCTTTTTTGCAGGTGTAAATACGTTTGATGAAAGAGAGAAAGGAGGTTAAGTTGTCGTCTACGTCTTTCAAATATTTCTTTCTTATGCAATATTCAATCAAATAACTGTCGTAGTGCTGTTTCTGCGATCCGGTTTTGGGTAAAGACTTTTTTACTGCGTTCCAGGTGGATTCAATGAGGTTTGTACAGGCTCCAGTGTCTTTATTTTTAAATTCGATAGAATGATTAACAGCTAGATGACCGTATCCCTCCGATTTCAAACTAGAATAGGCTTTCCAACAGTCTGATAAAATAATGGTTCCAGGTTCTACAAATTTCTTAATAATAGGATTCAGGGTGTTTGCGCTACTGTCTTCCACTACTTCAAAGAAACAACCAAACACCATCCACTCTCTTACACCATGGTACTTCCTCTTGCCAAATTTCCTCTCGTCTATCTCCACGTGTTTTCCTGGTCCACCAATCCTCTCACTGTCCTGTTTTAAAATGCATAGACAAACCTCTCTTGCAAAATTTTTCCAGTCTACAATGGTGTGGTCACTTCCAATCTTAAGTTCCCTAGCAATAAAATCCCCGGGTAGTTCGTATACCCAGTAGTATGTTAACTGTACTGCCTGCTCTAGAAATAAATGGCTTCCGGAAAACCAGGATCCCTCTCTTACTGACGTTTTTTTGTTACACTGTCTATTGCTACACCTCCAAACTACACCATCCTTACTGTAAGATTTGTCTTCCACTTATCTAACATTTCCATCATTGCAAGAGTCACATTTCCCACTAAAATTCCCAAGAAGTCGAAAATTTTGCAGCCAATCGATTAAAAATGTCCGTTCACGGCATATCTCATACAAATCATTCGTAAACAAAAGGCATAGTACCACAATCAGCCGATTCACTGTTTACATTAAGCGCAACTGACAAACTCTATTTTACGTCACATACCTTGACAAATCACAGCATTGAAATAAGTCACGTGCTTAACAATGTCATGACTTTGGAATGTGGCTGACGGAATGAAAGCGAATGTTTTGTTTTTAAAATGCTTTCAGTTTTAATTAATAACTTCGTTAATTAAACGAAGTTTATTAGCATAAAAAATGACGAGGAATTCAAAAAATACGTTACTTTTGCATTTTATTGCCTTTTTAGCGAAATCGTCACGCTGACGCGTGACTTTCTTATAGAGAAAGAGCACGTGCTATTTCCATGTAATTTGTACGTACCGGTAAAGTGCAGAAAGTATTTTTAATAAAATAAGTTCTTCAATCTCTGCCCTTTCTGCTCTCTAAGTTTTGATTATTGCTTTCCTCCATGTACCTTCACAACCTCGGACCCGGGCCTCGACCACCCACACGTAACATGAAAGGTTTTACTTTGATTTTTTTTCAATTCAATTTATTTATTGACAACCCAGCACTGTTAAGGCGTACTTCGAAGAAATCAACAGAATATAAACGTGCATAAATACATACCTTTTTAAAATGAATTTTAATTTTGTAAAGGTACTATATTATCTTATGACTTTAGCGTTCTTTGAAATAACATTGTATGCCCCGCTCTGTACTGAATTTGGTTTGGTCACGTTATTTGATAGTCACGTGATAAATGCATGTAATGTGTTCTGTATGTAGGTCACAAACATATTTCAATATCCAAGGGCATACCCTTGTTAACATTAAAAATTTAAGTAATAGATTGTTTCTACATAACTTGTAGTTTATGGAAAGTGCTGCAGCTTTAAATAGAATTCGCATTTTATTAATTGAAATTTCAAGTTATCTTGCTAATGTCGAAATATGTGTGACCTTTACCAAGTATTTTATGTATTTATTAAGTTATGGTATCGATTTCAGGAAAGCAGCAGCGCTTTCAAGTTAAGGAATATGTCCATTATATGTATTTAAAAAATGGTCAAGATCTATTAAGTGTATGCCCTTGCGAAAAGGCGATTTAA